AACCAGCCGACCTCGCGCTCCTCAAGTACTGGAACTGCGATATGGCCAACCCCACGCCAACAACGTCCTCCCACCCCCTGTTCAACCGCCTGTTCCCCCTCTCCTGGCTCCAGCTGATCGAGCCCGAGTCGGACACGACGTACGCGAGCTTCACGGACGACATAGCGGAAGAAACGCTGAGCGGCTTCAAGGCGAGCCGCCGCGGCAACTACCACCGCAAGCGCCGCCGATGGGCTCGCACGCGCTTCATTGTCGACCAAGCACGGGCCGGCGGCTTCTCCGGGCTCGTCGTCGCGTCGACCATGGACCCCATCTCCGTCGTCCGCGCCGCCCTGCCGCTCCTCGCCGGCGGCGCCCCCATCTCCATCTACTCGCCCACCATCGAGCCCCTCACCCAGCTGGCCGACTGCTTCAGCAAGGCCCGTCGCGCCGGGTGGTCCAGCAACCCGCCGACAGACGACAGTGGGCGTGCCCGCTGCCGGACCTGGAGAAACTGGCCCGGGTCGGACGACTTTCCCGTCAACCCGTCGCTGCTCATCGGGCCCAACGTGCAGACGAGCCGGGCGAAACGCTGGCAGGTGCTCCCGGGGAGGACGCACCCGTTGATGATGGCCCGAGGGTTTCCTGGTTTCCTGTTCACGGGGTCCAAGGCCCGCGGAAGGCAAAGATCGAAGCACGCGGCAAGACCAAGCGGCGCAAGGTCGAGGCATAGCTGGGAGGGTACTTTCATGCTGCGTAGAGGACCCGACGGAGGGATCGGAAAAGGGGGAGCCCGAAGGGGGCGCGGTGGCAAGATCGTCACCATAGACTAGATACCCATAAAATGGAAGAAAACAAGAGCTGGGAAAACCAAGCTGGGGGCGCCCTCCGACAAGCTTGTTCTTATTTTTATTTTTTGGTGGTTGGTGAAAGCATTCGCTACCCTACTTTCTTTCGCCCTCTTCTTCATAAATGACCCTGGCATCTACGTGATACATCCGTCATGACGTTCCTTACAACGCCTTGCCCATGAACTTCCTCTTGGTGAAGCTGAGCCACCACTTGCTCGGCTTGCCGTCGCCGCCCTCCTCAAAAACGCGCGCGAGTAACCGCGGCGCAATCTCCTGGCGGACCTGAGCGATGTACTGGCGCAGCAGCTCGGCCTCCTGCCTGTCGCGGGGGGGCTCGTACATCTACATCCCCATCGTCAGCAAGGGTCCGTCCACCAGAGGGTGCATCGGGACGGCGGGAAACAAGAGGGACGGAAACGCACCTGGTTCAGGGGCCAGCCTGGGTCGCCGGGAATGGCAAAGTTGGTGTCGAGCGCCAGGTTCTGGACCTCTTTGGCGGCTTCGCGGGGGCCATGCTGAGGCTTGATCTTGGTGAGGCAGTCGGAGACGAACCAGATGCCGTAGACGAGGAGGCGGTCGGCGGGACCCTGAATCTCAAAGTTGCGGAAAAAGGTGTTGGCGCGGAAGAGGGCGAGGACCTCGTCCAGAATGTCGTAGCTCTCCGAGTCAGGGTCGGGGGACTCGTTGGCGGGAAGCGGCGGGGAGGGCGCCGGCAGGACGTAGGCAGGACCGCGGGTCTTGGTGCGCAGGGGCAGCAGGGGAAAGTTGCCTATCAGACGAGGGACGTTGGGATCCTCGTTGAAGATGGAGTTGTAGGCCTAGCGTGGAGGAAGGTAGGTTAGCTTGCGTCATGGCGACATGAAGCGAGCGGGAGTGGTGGAGGAACGGGAGCTCTGGGTTGTAGCAATTGAAGCCGAGACAGCATGCACAAGACGTACCGGCATCTTGGCGAGGTCTGCGGTCTGCGACCAGCGGGATATCGATCTATGTGAGGATGAGCCCGCGGAAGATGGCGTCGTGAGCGAGGTGAAGCTGTCGTGCTGATGGTGGGGCTCAGCGATGACTGACGTTGTGGCAGCATCAGCCAGGCAAGCCGGGCCAGGCTGCATCTGGATGGACACCTGGAAGGGTGGGGCAGGAGGCTGGAGCAAGGCCGGCCGGATCAACTCCGGATAAATGGGCCCCGCAACCCCTCCAAAGCACGTGCCTTGTGCCTTGTGCCTCGTGAGTCTGCGCCCCTCGCTTCGCCACTTGGACCTCCATTGGTAGACAAAGGTGGATCTCGATTTGACGGATGCCTAGCCTGGTCACCTGATCTCGCTCGCCCCAACGCGCCTCGATCTGAGGGGCGAATTTGCCGCGGGGACCCTCGTCGCGCCCTTCCGTCCGTCTTGAACAAGGTCAGGGGTGCGCGCCAGGTATACACGTTCCTTTTTCCTTGCCCACTCCAGGCAAGGCATCTATCGACACTCATCGCCATCAGCTCTCCTGTCGCGACAAAAGCGGTCGCGTAGTCCCGCGATCACGACCATTGATTTGGCACAAAGCTTTCCTGAAACCCTCGTCGCGCCACTGACTCGAGGTTGAATTTTCTTTCATCCATCTTTTTCCGCCCTTTACGACGTGCCACCAGGTTTCCCCAACAGACCGCGACGGCCAAGTGACTCTTCCGCATCCTTGCCTCCTGGTCAAAGCTAAAGCTTTGATGATGCTTGTTATAGAGTGAGCATCTCCCCCTGCTGCTGCCACCGCTGCTGCCACTTCTCTCCCACACGCAGCAGGAATTGACGAATTGGCCCACAGCACGCTCTTCCACACAAACACACTATTCGATCGCATGGGCTCCATCGCGGATATGCTCGCGACCAAGATGGATGCCACTGCGGACGCTGCTGCCGCCACACCGTCAAGCTCTACAGACTCGACACCAAACCCGCCGTCGTCAGCGACACCGACCCCACCATCGCCAGTCGCGGCCGCTGCGCCCGTCTCCAAACGACGTTTCACACCGAGACGGATCTACCGACCAGAAGCCAACTCTCTCTACGACCTCATGTGGGACGAGGCTGGCTCCACGCTCTTCATGAAGCCCATCTTCTGGACCGACATGCACTCGCGTCTTCTCGACATTTGCTACGTCGAGCTCCCCCGGTGCCAAAACATCAAGGCCACGCAAGACTTTTACCAGGCGTCACCACGCGCCGAGAGCCTCTGCAGGCAGCTCACCCAGCTGCAGCACCCGGAACTCAACGGCCCTTACGAGACGGATCACATATACGAGGCCATCGAAACACTCTATCCGTCGACGAGACTCACTGCAGCCCCGCCCCGCGGCATGATCGACCTGAACATGTACTTCTCCGGCCTCCTGTACCCCAGCGCATGTCGCGTCCAGCTCATGTGGGAATGCGGCCCCGCCCAAGATGCCCTTTGCGAGTCGTTCCAGACTATCTCCACACGCCCTGCCGAATCATTACCCGGCAGTCTCAACGCCAGCGCCGTCGTCCCGGCGGGGGTGGTTCGGCAGCCGCGCGGGAACCGACGCTCGCGTACATCAGCAAAAAGTTCCTTTCACGACTCTCGCGCCAACATGTACCGCGCCTTCCGTGGCCCCAAGAACAAGGGCAACTCGCCCGTCGAGAGC